CCCCAAAACCCCAAAACCCCAAAACCCCAAAACCCCAAAACCCCATTTTTTTAGAAACTGGTTGAAAATAATTGTAACAAAGATTCTATCTGAAATGGTGATTTCCACTATCTGTAATGTTTAATACTCTTCTTGCTCGTCATACCCCTCGTGGATTTCATGAGCTTCTTCATCTCTTAATTTGGAATAGTATCCTTCAAGGTATTTCTCAATAAAAGCTGAGTCAAGGCCTGATAGTTGAAATGCATTTCAATTTTGAACTCTCATGTCTTCTAACTGAGACAATCATTTCATGTAAAACACTAAGTGATGGAGTTCTTCATCATTAGGGTCATCATAAAATGGAATAATAGGAATTCCATTGTCTAATTGAAACCCAAACGAGTACACTGCATTATCAACGATGCATATGTTTTCCATTGATCTATTTACTATTATTCTCAGGTCTTTAATGTAGACTCCTTCCTTTGTCTGGACTCAAGAGTTTCTATAAAGCCGGTGTTGAATGAGCTCTCTGTTTGGATCGAGATAATCCAAGACAACATCAGCATAGGATTGATGAGATGCTGTAAAGACAACTACTTGGAAATATTTGTTTGCTTCCTAAAATGTTTAGTTCGAAACCACTTACCTTCAAGCACTCAATAGCGTATGGCCTGATGTTAATCCCTGCATCAACTGTTTCTCCTGTTGGAAACGTGACTTTTAAAACTACGTGTGGATTATCTGTCTCCGGTTCATCCACACAATGCACAAGTGTTTCATCAAGGTCAAATATAATCGTCTTTGTAGTTTCCGGACTTTTAAACATCGGATGTGGGGGTAACTCAAGGTATTTTCCTTCCAAATCAAAATGGTTATCCAAGGTTCTGATATACTGAATTGCTTGAAGAGTTTGAATTAAATGAGCTTTGTGAAGTTCTGACTGATGCTCTTCACCTTCACCTTCTTCTAGCTTCTGACTATCATCTCAGCTATTATCGATAGAAACATCTGATTTATTGATAGATCCAATACTATTCGTTATATCTTTCTCAACATATTTTGTGATTTGAGCATCACGATCTTCATTCTGTTTCAAATTTTTTATAGAAGGTTGCTTGTCTTCTTCAACACTATTTTGGCCTTGCTCGTGCACCATTGCTTCTGGGATTCACTCATCTTTCTTATTTGGCACAAAGGGCAGGCCAATATTGACCTTAGTGACCAAGTTATTGAGATCAATACTTTTATTACTTCTTTGCTCAGAAGATTCGATTCTCACCATTTCTGTACTATAGTTCTTGGGATTACCAAACTTCTCTCTTTCTGGAGTTGAAACTATATCTGACAACTTCTCTTCAGTAATATTCTTGAGCAAATCATTTTTAGCAAAGCTTCTTTCTTGTTCAGTATTTGTAAATATCTAAGCCTTAATGATAGATGTACTTACAGGAGTATTTTGGGCCTCTCCGTCAGAAATCTCTGGAGATTCAAACTCTTCATATGTTTCGATGCAATCCATAGTTTCCTTCATGAAGAGCCCATTATCGCCGCTATTGCTGGTAATAGCTACGCTGTCCTTAGGCTCATGGGCTTTGAGAAAGTTATAGTCATGCACTTTGTTTCAGTTGTGTAACTTTCCTTTCCTTTGTTCCTTGATTTCCTCAACTCTTCTCATTGAAGAATGTGAAGGCTCTCTGTAGCCAGAATCGTGATGGCATTCTTCAAAAATACTGGATTCGTCTAAGTATGGAGTTGAGAATTGGCCAGGACTACTTCCTTCAGCAGCTAATTGCTTATAGTTAGTAGGTTTCCTGGAATTATTTTGAATTATATCATTTTTAAATCTTTTCTTCTCTGATTCTAAGAGTCTGCTAGGATTAATAACTTCATTCATGATCTTGTCAGGCTCTATACGCTCAGTTGGTCTATTCGACACAAACGAGGCTTCTTGAGAAGTAGCAAAAGATTTGAGAATGCTTTGTTTTTGCCAGTTTAAGAAGCTCTCCTTTGTTATTGGTAAAGTTTTAAGAACTCTCCCATGTCCAGCCAATTTACCTATTTTAACTAATCTATTGTCATAGTAGTCTTCATAAGTGTCAAATTCATTGACATTCATCAAATCTGCCTCCTCTTCTTCCCCAAGGAATGTAGATTTCTTGAGTGAAGCTGTTTTACTAAATTTCCCCCCACTTTTTGTATGCACATTGACAATTTCACTAATTCCAAAATCTTTTGGTTTCAGAGCTGAAGTATTCCCATCTGAGCTGAGTTCGTGAGAGAAAAGATAAGAATTCTTTGACAAAACATCAGGGTCTGGCTCCTTAGCTTCTAATAAAGATTGCTTCGCCTGGCTAAACTGGTCTGAATCCTGATCAATAATCTGCTTTCTCTTGGCTCCTCTCTTACAGAACACTACAGGTGCTCTCTCAGACTCTGTATTCTCAATCTTCATTTGACTCAGATGCTTACTGTTGCTTTCCTTACTATAATTTTTGACTTTTTTATTTTTAACATTCATCTTCTGATGATGGAGAGCTGAGCTCTTATTAGGCGCTTTTCGCCTTCATTTCTTTTCTCCACTTCCACTTTTCTTTTTCTGAGAGACAATAGAATGACTGGCATGGCTCTTGTTATCTCCCTTCCTAAAATCTGCATGTGTCTGGGTATTCAGTTCAGATGAGATAGATTTGGTCTTAGTAGATCCCTTCTTCCTACTCTCCATTGAAGCCTTACTGTATGAAGTGTCAAAAGGCTTCTTGGATTTATTTAAGAGTATTTGTGGTATGCTTTACCTTGTTTGCTTCACTATTAGTGTCCTTTCAAGTCCGGCTTTCAAAATTTTTGTCTAAGTTTCTCGTATTTAGATGGTCATCAAGCATTTTATTTACTCTGGCTGTTTATCCTATTCTGCATCTGGTGAAGCATTTCTTCATTTTTCTTATTTCCGTTCCTCTATCCTTTGAGCAGCCTGGCTAGTAGTCTGCTTCTTTGAAGTTGAAAATGCAGTTATTTTATTGGAGGCTCTCTTGTAATGCTTCATTTTGAATTTTCTATTCAATTAATATTTTATAAGCTGGGGTTTTGGGGTTTTGGGGTTTTGGGGTTTTGGGGTTTTGGGG